TTTGAAGCTTCATTTACCAGTCTCCTGTTTACAATTAATTTAGATTTTCTCTCCACACCCATATCACCGATCAGTCTAAATAAAATACCTCTCCTTACCAACCCTATTTATGGATAACACGTAACCCATAAAAACTTAAGAAAAGCAGCACATTAAATTTCATTTTACATTTCTCCACATGGCAGAAGCGCAGCCCCCTTGAAGATGTCTGCTAGCACCCCTGCACAGGAGCACCCAAAACGGATCCTAGTTTGCCAAGGGAAAAGCGGGACCTCTCCCTGCCCTCCAGCCTGCCCCACGTCGTTACCTTTCTGTGCTCATGGTCGATCATGACGTTGTGAGGTTTGACATCTCTGTGCATGATTCCCATGCTATGGCAGTAATCTAGAGCCTGTAGGTGGCACACAAACAAACGGGTGCTGAAGTCACAAGACTCTTTCAAGTTCAACCATATTCAGAAATGTTTCTACATACACCAAGTCTAACTAGACAGCAAGACTTTACTGTCCAGCGCCATATCCTGCACTAGACTTGCAGACCACACCTCTAGAGCCCCCTCTCAAAGGCAGGTCCCAGCAACACAAGTGTTTTGACTTAGTCTCCCCCTCTCCAGACTCCTGAGGAGAAAATACTTGTTTCAGAAGAATGGACGTTCGACGTACGTGTGTCTCACGTTACATTAGGGCACAAAACCAGCCAGTAACAGCTTACACTTTTCTGTTCTCAGAGGCTAAGTGTACTTTTGATTTAGGATCTGAAGTTATCTAAGTGTACCCAAATGCTCTGCTATTGTCAAAAAAAGGACTAGAATTTGTTACAGAAACAAAACTGAACAATTGATACTATCTTGATACGTATTTTCCTATCCAATTCTCCCATAGGTTTTCTCTTCTCTTCCCCCTACTAGTGACACAACAACCAGCTCTGTAGGATTAGCCGACTGCAAATCCTAGAAATAAACCAATAAAACAGCAGAAGATGAACTTACCTTCAAAATCTCATACATGTAGAATCGAATATCATAATCTGTTAATGTCTGGTATAATTGCTGTGGGACACAAACACATGTTAGTGTCCAACTCCCAAGAAAAACACCGCATCCCTGCCAACCGAGAGCAACCCAGCCCTGTTATCCGCTGCGGTGGTTCTCTAAACCCGTTGGAAAGAACAGTAACAACTTCCCAAGTTACTCTGACCCCCAGTCTGTTCCTCTCCCCTTACCAACGGCATACACAGCTTACTCGTGGCTCTGCTCCCACGGTACATTCGGGTTTCTGTCACTAGCTGCCTCAGGTGGTGCTCACCCACCACCACCACTACACCTGCAGGCTGGGTCTCAAAAAGGCCAACCACGTTCTGCAACATTAAGCAGCTATTCCAGATGGCATTGCACAGCCATTCTCCTGAGGCAGGTCAGTAGGGAAGGGGACAAAGAAACATTTAAATCCCTTTTCCCAGAAGTACAGAAAGCTACAGAAACAGCTGTCCACATTTAAAGTGGTTGTAATAAATAGCCATACGCTGAACGTAAAGGCAAAGTGTTCAAAAAGGCACTGATGATCCACAAGATCATGGATTAATTTGCTCTGAAGGTCAGAACACCACTTGGAATCTTGACTCTCATCTAGTAACTTCTGTGGCAAAACAGTACTAAAGGACTGATTAAAAACTTCTGTCCCAAGCATAGTTACTTTGAAGACGTTACGACATTGGAAGGAAACCGTTAAATAGCCTGCCTGCCCCCACGTACTCGCCTTTCCATGGAAAAGAGTGGCTTTCAAATGGAAAACATTACAAGTTCACATCCCACACTGTACCTTGAAGTCTGTGTTGTTTACGTGTTCAAAAACCAAAGCAGGTGTCCGAGACTAAAACAGGAGAGAGAAGTGTTCAGCCGTTTGAAGTTGAGATAACATGTTTTAATTTAGGATAATAAATTAAACTAGTTCCACTCCTAACACTGCTAGAAGCCCCGTTGCCTCGGGCACCCTTGTGATCCCCCTCGCGACACAGGAAGCAGAGGCAGCAGTGTCTGTGGAATGAATTAACTTGCCTCAGCCCACTGGTGTCTCACCCTTGCAGGGCGAGGGGCTGAAGGGACCTGTGGGGGAAGGGCCCTCTAAAAAGTTAATCAGATTAAGAGCTGATCTGATTAAGCAATTCAGAAGTAGGATTTAAGAGCAGGGGAAAACAAGAAGCCAGATCAGAGCTGAAGTCAAACACAGCAGCTCCCCCTATAACCCCAGTGTGCCCTTTAAGCTCCTTCCATACTCACCACGGGATCTTTTACTATATCTGCAAGAGTGATGATATTGGGGCCGCCTCGCAAGTTCTCCAAGATCTTGATTTCACGCTTGATTTTCTTCTTTTTAACAGGCTGAAGAATGAAAATCCAAAGCATAAGACAAAGCTCTCCAGCAAAGTGAGGCTAACAGACAGCTCAACATCCGATGACAAAGGTGGGTGACTGCAAGTCAGCAAAACACGGTGGAGTCTTTGCAAGTTAAGTCCACACAGCCCGATCTTGCTGTTACCTGATTACACACCGTTCCAGTACGGGCTCACACATCCGCAGTCTCCTTTCTACCCACCCAGCCCCGACAGCTACAAACATCAGTTTCAGGTGAATGATGTTTAGAAAGATGACTTTTTTTTCAAAGCTGTCTGAACGTGACCTCATAGTCCAAAACTTAACTGGCATGTGGTAAATGTGGAGCTATGAGGAGTCCATGAGCTACATGAGGGCCACTAAATGAAGGTATTTCACCCATCAAGGCTGTGGAATAACCAGCACCCAGGAGACCCTTAATCTGGAAGGATATTACATGTGCAAGGAACACGCAGCGCAGAAATGAAAATGTTAAGGTTGCAGTCCCTAAACCCAACCAGTGGCTTTAAAGGGCAACGAGCCCATTAGATCCCAGGCCTCTGGGCACGTGATGGCATGCCAGGGCACCGGGAGTCAGAGAAGGCAAGAATTTCCTAGTCAGCTGTTGAAGCCTTGCTTGGCTCCAAGTGAAAACATGTTGCACATCAGGACTTCTTTAAGACAGAGACTAATTCCTTACGGGCAGAGATTTAACTCCATAACCAGCTGCAGGGCTTCTGTTAGGAGGCTCACAGCGATGGCCCGTTTCACTGAACGACACCCCAAAGCCAGGCTTTAAGGATTCCAGTTTTAAAACATTGAATGTTTTAGATCAAATGCTGCACTTCATGGCCTCTGGATCACCTCGAGACAGATTTTACCTCTTGCCCAATCCCCAGCTCACCTTGAGAATTTTAACAACTACTTTTTCATTATTTGTAATGTTGATGGCTTCAAATACTTCACTGTATTTGCCTCGGCCTAATTTTCGAACTAGCTGGTAGTCATCTTGATTTCTGTGGAGATAAAAAGTTACAGTTCCAAAGAGCTCAGTCATTTCCACCACAATTGACAAACTGCTCTCTGACACTGAATCACTGCGTCACCTTCCAGACAAGGTGGGTTAACTAATGCCTTACCTCTCAAACACAACCATGAAGGATTAGGAGAGAAACAGGGAGCTTCTACTCGCCCAAGCTAGATTCAACCCAGAACTTATCTCTTCTGTAGTAGGTAACATAAGCCCAACTATGCATTTCAGCACCAGCAAACTCGAGCTATCCCTTCCACAGGTCTCTCTATATGGGGAAGCTACGTTTTTCCATGTATAATCTTGTTAAAAATCAACAAAGCCAGTAAGATCAAAAATGTAAGTCAGCACTTGAACACGGACTAGGCACGAAACACGACTTATGCTCAGAAGACTGCGTGCATTTCCGAAACGGAGATCTGAACCAAGGCTGAGGGCAGAACGTCGCCGGGGCCGTGCTGTACAAAAGCAGGAACACAGAGCTATGGAGCTGGCATCGCTGCTCTCTGATTCTTGGATGGTTTGGTCACGAGCTCAATTTAGACACCTCCTTCCTTCAGAAAGCAGCAGACCTGTCTCTTCCAGTCACTCGCAGAGAGCTGAGCAACAAGTCACAAAATAGCATGTACCTATTTAAGTCTGCCGAGTCTCTTCGCTCATCCAAGTCAGAAGCAACTTCAGATGTCTTCTCACTTCTTTCCAGCCCTGCGCCCAGGGCTGTTTAGATGGTTTCAGAAGCAGATTTTCTTCCCTCTGAAAGGGGACGTTTCCTGACTACCTGGCAAAAATTCTTCAAACCAGACTCTTAAGAAAGCTGCCAGAAATTTTCCTGCACTGCTGGGGATTTAAAATTTTGAGAAGAAATGCTTTTCTGAAGAAGATTTGTGATCCTAGCACTTGCCATGCACACTAGACACCTGACAAGGAGCAAGAGAACGCCTAACGCAGCAAAGGTGCCTGAACTCTCCCCATGCCCTACTATGCTGATCCTCCAGGGATCCAGCCAAGTCCAGGGACACCCTCAAGCAGCCCAGAGACTTACCCCCACTCGACAACATGCGACTCATAGTCCCAGTACTCCCGGGGTCTGTGTGTGTTCACATCCGTGTAAACTCTGGCCCTGCTCGGCACGGGTCCCGACATATCAGACAGGTTGGCAGGTGGAAATGATGAGACGTCTGAAATCAGAGGCTACCCGATCTGCAAAGCTGGGCAGAGGATAAAGGCCTCAGATTCTTCCACCTGCAGAGAAATAACATAAACCAGAGGTTAAAATCTCAAGATACTATAAAAATATTCAAGTTAATCATTAAAAGCTGCTGAGGAGAGGCTGGAAGAACCCAGCCACAGGCCTGGAACCATTTGTTAGAGCTTGAAAACAATTTGTCTGCTCTCCCTCACACAGGACGGGACCACTTGGCCCCGCTAGCAAGAGTAACACCCCCCGTCGCCCCTTGCAACTTTCAGCATGCAGTTCCCAACTTATGGTGGCAAAGATAACTTCCAAAAGGGAAGAAAGGCAACATGCTCTGTCTCTGCAGACAGAGCCCTTCCTTTCAGCTCCAGCGTGAAAGCAACAGCCATCGGCTACAACTTCTCCCCCAAGCAGGAAGCAGTCTTGTGCCATCCCGTGTAACCAAAGCACTTCACTCGAGGTTGCACAAGCATCACCTCTTGCAATGCACTGATCAACGACGCTGCACTCAGCGCTGACAGATCAACGAGGTGGCCTGTGCAACCTAAATTAAGCGCTTTAAGTTTCAACTTCTAGAAGCACCAATTTTCATTTCAATCAGAACTTCAGGATTTACTTGCAGTTCTTAAAAGGATGGAAGCCTTTCACGTGCTCATGCACAAAGGTTTGTGTGGCTGCACTGATGCATTCCGTGGAAAGAAAAAACACAACCTGAACCGATCCACTACTGCTCTGCCCTTTCCAGCCACTGGAAAACACAGGTATTAACCAAAGCATTTCTATACAAAGCCAGGCTGGCCAGCTCAGGAGCAGGTTTCTGAACGACAGCATGTTTCATTCCCTCCTGCACAGACACGTCGTCTCACAGCAGACACCTTCTATACATAACCCAGTGCCCACATGAAAGTGAGCAAGACTTATGGAACAGGCAGCCACTGGGTCTTGTCCCTGGACTCACGTAAGGAAAAAGGCAGCACCATGCTGTAAAACACAACAAGTCCTGGCACAGCGTTCTCCAGAAGATGTAGGACATTAATAGTGATAAGCTACATCCACACTAATTAGACTATTGTGAGAAGTACATCCCTAACCAGCAGTGCAACAACAAAGGACATCTAGAAGATCTCATAGAGACCAGTCATTATGAATAATTCAGGGATTAAACGGCTCGAGGATGCTCAGAAGACTTCACGACAAACCAAAGCAGCCAGAGAGTTCTGCTGTGATGGGGCACCAGTTTTGGTCACAACTTTCTATAGCCAAGTCATTAAATCCAGCCGTCCAAAAGGCAGTGGCATCTGTGTTGGATTTTGATGTTTTACCCAAAGACGAAAGAAAAATTCTGCTAAAGATGTCTAAAGATGTTTCTTCGGGTTCTGCTTGTCCAAAGGATTTGGTAAGCACCTCCACTTCTTCCTCCTTACCATGTGATTTTTGCAAAACTTCTGGTAAGTTTTATCAGTATGGAGACTAGTCAAAATAACTCAAAAGCAAGTCACTGTTAAGTCAAATACTCCAATCTCTGAATATTTAAGGCAACAGTAACTTACTCCAGTTTTGTCTCAATGTTGTCCTACCTGAAGTGAGAGCAGTGCATTTGCACCTCTCAAATCTTTCCCGAGTGAAAGCCAACACCTTTTTAAACACTGAAGTACAAGAATTTCTTTGTCAGCTTTCAAAACCACTTACAAGGAAACTGTATCAGAGCATGAGAGAGAAAGGCACTCAATCCATGGGCACTGCCATGATCTAAATGAACACATTTATTTGCCATGCGAGTCTTACCCCTTCACAGAAAATGGGCAACTGCCAGACTGCAGGAGGAAGTAACAGCCCCATTGATCAGAAATTAATCAGAAAGACCTAGAAATCTGCTCAGAGGAGTTAGCTACGTCACAGAAGAAAATTCTAGAAGCAAAATCCTACTCTACTGGCAGTGTCCTGGCATTTATTCGAGGGCTGCGGTACCTCAGTCTGCTGCCAGGAGCACAGCAGGACCCCTTGGCTACAGAGATGATGGTGGTGGACCTGGGGAACATAGGTTTGATGTCCTTCACCATGTCACACAACTTGGCCAGCCACTGGCTCTGCATTTGGAGGCAGAAATGCACACGAGGGCTCCTTCTGGCGTGGGTTACGTTTTGACCTACTGACACACAAACAGTGTTGAGAGCAGCTCCAGGGAGAGGGTTGTGGCAACCCAGCCCTCAAGGTTAAAAAGGGACACAGCCCTGCTCCAAAGTCCACAAGAGAGGTGAGACCAAGGCCTCAGCCCAGTAAAGGAAGGACGGGGCACTTCAGCCAGGTGCTCAGGTAACGGAAGGATAAAGTATTAGTAAAAAAATCCCAGTCTATTCCTGGACAAAACACTGGTCCTCCAACAAAATACACTTTCAGAAGATTAGGCAGCAATCATCCAAGACCTCAAACCATTTGTGTGTCATGACTCAGACACTTAGAAACCAGGTGTATAATCCACAAACGTACTCAGGCATCGACAGAGCACGAAAGTTTAGCAGGACACTTTTAGTACAGTGAAATTCATTCGATTTCCAAGTCTAATCACTGTAGTTTTGTTTCTCCTCATTCCACACGCTCTGGCAGGAGATGCACTGGCCAATTTCCTCTGCCCAACACTCCCTGTGTAGGAGTTACCTGAACCTACATATGTCTAAGATGACTTGGCAATTTCAATTTTTAAGCACACAACTCAGTATCAATAAAGAACATGTGACTGCTCCACCTCAGCCAGCTTAGCAAGATCAGTTTCAGCCTGGAAAAAAAATAATAAAAAAGAAAAATCAATCACATTATCTAAAGGTAGATCAAATTTCACAGTGGAATTTCAATTTTCACAGCTGTGTGTTGTAACGGACTGCTCAGAGAAGGGTTTTTTCAGGAAATCATGGACTGTAGCTTCCAAGAACAGCACACAATGCCTGCTTACAAAGGCAGGTGTCATTGTCTACTGTTCTTGACACAGGAAGAGGAGAGCGGCCGCACAGATAACTTGGTTTTAAAGCAAACAAAGTTAAATACACACAGAAACTTACCCTGCCTGAACGCTTCTCACTCTCTCTGCTCAAAACTCCTAAGGAATTGGTATATATTTTGCTTTCACTGGCCCTAGGGAGGGATAGTTTTGCAGTGGATCCAAGCACTTTGACAAAAGGGACCGACAGAAGCGGTGACAAACAGCAGGGACAGGTGTGGTTGTGCAAAAGTCAGTTAAGCTTGCAGTTTTAAGGCAGAAATTCTACAGGATGAGCAGTGATTACACCTAGATGAGCGTCCTGAGCTTGTTAAAAAGGACGAGTTCTATTTCTGCAGAATCTAAACAGAACATGTCATGTATTAATTCCTGCATCAACGACAGAATAATTGGTACTAGAAGTTTAAAAGCAATCTAGTTCCAGTAGGTCTAATTAGATCGGCTTGCTATGCCCAGCGTAGTCTTGAGCATCTCCAAAAAACCACAATGCATCTCTGAAAATTCTGACTTCTCTGGTCGAGAAGCGGTAACTAGGAAACATAACCATGAGTTTTAAGGCAATCTACCAGAGGCCACACAGAAGAGGAAGACAAAACTCCCGGGTACTGCCTGCCACCCACTGCTCAGCGCTAAGGCTCGCCTCTGCAGGGGCAGAAAACAGCTCTTTGTGCCAGCACAGCCCTTGGGAAGCATCACCCAACACCGCTCACACAGCAGCTGTGTCAAAGGAGCACCAGCAAAACGTCCCGGGCTCGGTCTTCCCGTCTAGGCCTGCCATTTAAGCATCCGTAAATTGGTAATTAGCTGATCTGTTACACAGGAGCCTCATCAAGAGCACACACAGGACCCTGTTCATCCTGTGCACAAAAAATAAATAAATCACGAGAGCACAGCCTAACACAGCGCTGCAGGTACTGCTGGTAACTACTCAGGAGTCCTCGAGAGCCCCAGTCCAGAGACAAAAACCATCATGCTACCACCACACAGGAATCTTTTACTTGGAAGGTCTACTAATTAATAGATTGATTCTTAAAAGTTTGAATTATTCTAACAGTAGCCTATTGCATGAGCAGCTTGGTAAGCCAGGCTTTTTGTGCCTACAGCCCAACAAAATGGTAAAAAGCCTCGCAGTGTTCACTTCCAATTTAATTTCTAAAATATTTTCATTTAAACCCCTGTTACAAAGCTCTTTTTAAGAAGGGATTTTATCATCTTTGCAAGGCACTCTAATCCCAACGGCACCCCCTGCCCCCACGAGGGACTTGATTTCTCGTGGAGTATCTGTACTTACAGCACCCATACTGGTATGGAATATATATATTAATGCATATATATTAGTATATATATGGAATATATATACTATTATATATAGTATAGGAATTTCCTATGCCCTCTGTCCTTCCAGATGTACCCACTTCAGCAAGCAGCAACAAAACAGCTAAGAAATCTGTCCAAATCAGTTCCTGAGAAACACACCTACTTAGCCTCTAGTCAAATCCACCTCTTTTTTTTTTTGTAGTCAAGAATAACTGAGATACCAGTATGGTTTTTTTGTCCTTTTAAATGGAGACGTTTTTGGCACGGAGCTTCTCTCAAGCACACGGTTACTCAGAACCTTAAACCTAAGAAGTGGCACCAGTACGATGCAGTGCACATCCAGACTGCCAGTGAGCTGGAAGCCAAGAGCTTCCCAGAAGACCAGTGTCCCGAGGAACCTGGAAGTGCTGTCCAAGCAATGACCTTTGTGGATAAGGTTTGGAGTATAAATACTGCACCCAGGAACAGGAGCACTGCTGGGCACTGGCCTCTCTGTGTGCTGCTAACAGCACAACCTGCCCTCCGTGTGAGCAGTGCGCTGCTGGGTAGTTCCCAGTTCCTCCAGCCAAGCAGAGTGAACCCAGTGAACCACCTTCAACACCATGAACACCATCAGTACTGGCGACCCACCTGAACTCAAGTTCAGGCAGCAGAGAGCACTTCCAAAGGAGTAAGACAGGCCCCAAATTTCACCAAGTCATAGAATCACAGACTGGTTTGGGTTGGAAGGGACCTCAAAGATCATC